TAATTCCTTTCTTCTCTTTGGAGGCAAAATCATAGAAGTGCTGGTTCAGGGAAACCCCTGGTGACCTCTAGTCCAACCTTTTTCCCTGGGCACACTGCTGGCTCGTGTTAACTCCACAAAACACACCCCCTCACCTGTCCTGAGTGACCACCATAACAGATGGAGCCTAAAGTCACGGACTATATGAACTGACCAGACATTTTTTGGACATCTGTGGACATTGTATGGACATCTGGTATATTTTATGGACATCTGGAATATTGTGTCTAGTTCTGGGTCCCTCAGCTCAAGAGAGACAGGGAACTGCTCGAGAGAGTCCAGCGCAGAGCCACAAAGATCATGAAGGGAGTGGAACACCTGCCCTTTGAGGAAAGGCTGGAGGAGCTGGGTCGCTTTAGCTTGGAGAAGAAGAGGCTGAGGGGTGACCTCATGAATGTTTATAAATATGTCAAGGGGGAGTGTCAAGGGGCATTGGGCACAAGCTGGAACATAGGAGGTTCCACAAAAATATCAGGAAAACTTTTTCACTGTGAGGGTGACAGAGCTCTGGCACAGGCTGCCCAGAGAGGTTGTGCAGTCTCCGTCTCTGGACACTTTCAAAACCCACCTGGAGGTGTTCCTGTGTGGCCTACTCGAGGTGATCCTGCTCTGGCAGGGGAGCTGGACTAGATGATCTTTCGAGGTCCCTTCCAATCCCTGACATTTCTGTGATTGTGTGAAAATATTTGAAAAGGTCACTGTAAAAGCTCTGGCTTGGTCCTTTCAGTTTAAGCCCCTTAGGCCATTTGGTCAAGCAACTGCTGCATTTTAAAATCTCCTTTTATTTACGGATTAGTTTTTTTGGTTGTAGGTTCTTGTTTGATTTTTTGGTTGGGTGGATTTTTTGACCCTTCCCATTAATTCACACAGTAGGAGCAGAGTTTTCCCAGCTCTCTAAATTCGGCATGATCAGATTGAATATCAGTTTGGCCAATGCTAAATCGTGGATGCTTGAAGGTTCCTGGGCCAGCAGAGACCTTCCCTCTGGCTGGGTGACCAGAGTGGATTCAGGCACAGTGGTTTTGGGAAAACAGTCTGGAAATGCAAGCTTGTCTTACCCAAAAAGTAGGTAATGCAATGTAGAGTGGTGAGATGCTGAAGGCCTGGTGAAAGCTAGAGGGTGGGAAGTTGCATGGGAGAGCGAAAGGGGTGTGTGCTTGTGTTTGCCAGCCCAGGGTGTCTCCACCTGGCTGGAAAAAATTTTTATTTTTTTTTCCTGGACTGTCCGGTGAGGCGAAGAGAATGTCCCTTTCTTCAAATGCTTCCCCACGACGCAAACAAAAACATGGGTGCATTCTCATGGAGAGAGCTTTTTATTGTTGTTACATTTGTAATGTGGTAATGCAATGGAGTGCAGAAAATGCTGCCATGGGAAGTCATTTCAGTCGAAGCCCTAAATGCTGGTTTGTGCTTGTAATAACATATTAGCTCTGGTCTGTGTTAGCTCGTTGTGACGCTTAATGGGAGTCTTCTTTGGATGTATCTGAGAAACCGTCAAATCCTCTTTTAGCTAAAAGTCAAGCAAGCTCCTAGGAGAGCAGTTTGATGGGATTGCTATTAATCCTAGCCTTAATACTCTTCCCCCTTTAAGGTAACCTTGCCAGGAGCTGGGACAGCTCCTGGAGGTGTTCATGGGAGGTTGCACCACCACCTGAAGCTCTGCCCACCTGGTGTGCAAACACCTGCTCCTGGCACATTTATGGTGTGGAAAAGTAGAAAGTGGGTGTCTAGATCTCAAGTTCTGACTGCACTTGGGAGCTCTTCAGAGAGGAGATGGGACAGGATCCCTCCAGCTGGCAGGTGGGAGCTGTAAGGTGCTGCTCCTGTGGCCCATGCTGGTGGCTTCTGGCCTCGTGCCATCATGTCCAGCGCCAGCTGAGTGATTGGGAAGGGACTGCTCCAGCCTGAAGGTCCTCTCTGCCCAGGAGCCTTGGGAAACCTTTGCTCCCTGGTCAGGCAGGGTGTTTGCAGGGGAGCTGCTGGCATTTTGGGGCATCACAACAGTGCAGCCAAAACGTCTGTGATCACCTTGGGACCCCTGAAGCCACACGGTTGACGGGCTGCTTTTATTGTGTGGCTTCACTGGCATTCGTAAAGCTCTTCAGATAGATCAGAAGAGAAGATCCCTGCCCTAAACGAGCATGCTGTCTATGGTAGAGGTAATGCTAGAGGATAAACATAAAAGGAAAACCAGTGGATTTGAATCAATGAAAGTTAATAATCTGGATAAATTCAAAGATCTGGACTAGAGAAGGGAGACAACAAACCATGGGTGGAAGTCCAAGACCCTGCGATGACCAGGAGTTATGATGGGGAAAAAAACTGAGCCATCAGTCTCAGCTGGAAACAAGAGCAGAGGTGGTTTTCATGAATAAATAGACTTCTCCCTCTTCTACTCAAATTTTAAAGTGCTGGCTAAAATGTGTACTGTTGATTTAAGTGAATTTAGGTGGTTGAAAAAGGGGAAGTTAGGATGTGATATTTAAATGTGAGCAATTTTTCTCTTATCCTTTTTAAACTTTTGTAAGAGTTTGGGACATCCTGAGAGTTACTCTTTCATGATCTAATAGGAGGGGCATTTGATTCTGGCCCAACTTTCCACAAGGAACACAAGAGCAGAGGTAGAAGTGAGCTCTTGGTCCCATGGAAGCCCCTCACATATAACCTAACTGATTTCACAGGAGATGAAGTCCACCCTTGGCAATCGTTGCCCTTGCAAAAAGCAATTTTCTGGTAAATACAGTGTAGCTATAGCACAGGTGCCTCAGGACGCCGCCTGGGGTTAAGACACCTCATCCTTCCCATGTCGCACCCCTGCCTTAATGGTCATCCATGTCTGGGTACAGGAGGAAGCCCATGAAAGTGGAATCATTGACGTTGTCGGCATAGATGCCATTGTCGTCCCCATCCCCATACACCTGCAACCAGACCTCGTCCCCAGAGTTGAGGTGCAGGAGGATGGAGCCGCTCGCCTGGTCAGCGTTGTTCTTCTGGAACTGGTCGTAGGTGATGATCGCCGCCTTGCCGTTCTTGTAGAGGCTGACCTTGACGTCCTCCAGGTAGACCATCAGGTTGTAGGCGAAGTAGTAAGTGCCGGGGATGTTGCAGAGGAACTTGCCGGTGCTGGTGTCGTAGTGGCTCTGCTTGTTGTAGAAGATCTTGCTGAAGCGGATGGGGACGTTGGGGTAGGGGGCTCTCTCGGTCAGCCCCACGCTGAAGGCGGAGCGGTGCATGAAGGCGCTGTCTCCCTTCGGCCCAGTCGGCCCTGGGGCTCCAGGAATTCCCATAGGTCCTGGGGGGCCATCAAGGCCTGGCCGACCAGGTGCACCTGGGGTACAGAGTGGGAACAGGGAGTTGTATTTGTGCTGTGCCGGTAGCTGCTACCCACCACCTGAAATGCAGAGGTGGCTCTGACATGAGGATCTGCCTGGCATCACGGAGCTGAGGAAAGGCTGGATGACCTCCACGCCCCCCGTGAGCTGAGTCAGGGAGTGGAAAACCCACTCGCCCCACTGGCTGCGCGCAAAGCTGCTGAGAGCAGCACATCTGGAATAGCATCATTAATTGGACAAACAATCACCTGACCAAACTCTTTGACTTGAGTTGTGGATTCTCCATCCCTGGAGATACTCAAAAGCCGTTGGGACAAAGGTCAGGAATGATCTCTCTGGAAGTGTTCCAGGCCAGGGTGGACGGAGCTTTAACCAGCCTGATCTGGTGGGAGGTGTCCCTGCCCATGGCCAGAGAGTTGGAACTAGATGATCTTTAAGGTCCCTTCCAACCCAAACCATTCTATGGACTCACCAGATGCGAGACCTCCCAGGGCTGAGCATGGGGGCTGGGACTGCCCATGGGTCCAGCACCCCTCGTTCCGCACTAACCTGGGAATCCTCTCTCTCCCTTTGGTCCCTCCACTCCATCTTTCCCGTCCCGGCCGGGCAGTCCGTTGTGGCCAGGGTGACCGGGCATTCCGCCCATCCAGTTGGCACATGACATTTTGGGATCAGGCTGGACCTCCTGGGCAACAACCTCTCTGCGACAGGTGGTCACCAGCAGCAGCAAGCAAAGGAGGAAGCCTGATGGGCCTCTCATCGTCCTTCCTGATGCAGACGATCGCTCAGTGACCTTTAAAGGTTAATAGGAAGAAGAAAAGAAGTGAACAAAAGCCCCAGCCCTGGGTAAAATTTGAATCAGCATAGCTGAAGGAAAGCAATTCTACTCGCCCCAAGGGCTCCTCCGCATCCAGCCAGGTGCTGGTGTGAGCTCCCGAGCTCAGAAGCCTTTGAGCTGAGCCGGTGGTTTATCCCCTGCCTACAGCTGGCTAACCTGGGTCTCTCTAACATGGACAGAAACTACAGCCAGGCTCTCCATCCCTTTTCGTCCTATGAAATCATCACACTGTTAGATTTTTCCATCTGAATTATGTTTCTGGATTACGGGAAGATGCCTGTTGTTGTGTGATACTGCTTCTCGGGCAGAGATTATACCCTGATACAATAAAGGTGCTCTGTAAGTGGCAGAATAGGCAATAAAAAGTGTGTAAGCAGCGTGGCCATTAGAGTCCCTCAGCTCTGTCATTTCCAAGAAAAACAATATTTTGGAGCAGTTCCTTTTCAGGGTTGATTTTCCTAGGTAAGCTGTTTGTTATATTTTAAATAATGTCTTATTAGCTCTCATGTAATTGCTACAAAGGAAGCTAAGTACTGTGCTGGTTTTGGCTAGGGCAGGGTTAATTTTCTTCCTAGTAGCTGGTATAGGGCTCTGGTTTGCGTTTGGGCTGGGAACAGCGCTTGATAACACAGGGATATTTTCATTATTGCTGAGCCAAGGCCTTTTTTTCTGCCTCTGTTATTTTTCTTTCCATTACAATTTATTATTATTTCTATTTTATGTTAATTATTGAACTGTTCCTGCTTCAGCCTATGAGTTTTCTCCCTTTTTACCCTCCCAGCTCTCTTTCCCCCATCCCATTGAGGGAGAGTATGCCATGAGGGGGTAGAATCATGGCAGAGGGTTGGAAGTAGATGATTTTTAAGGTCCCTTCCAACCCAAACCATTCACGGCGGTGCGGTGCTGAGTTGCCGACTGGGATAAAACCAAAGCAAAGGGGTTACCGTGAGTTCAGTTTTGGCAGGATGTTGGAAGGGCTTTGAAGAACAGTTCAAAACTCTGCTCGATTAATTTGGTGAACACATAAAATCAGGAAACTCCTAAATCTGTGTCCGGCTCTGGGAGATTTGGGGCAAACCCAATCTTCCCAGGAGTCTTCGAGGAAAGCGGTGAATCGAAAGGTGCCGGTTCAGTACTCGCTGTTACAGCCATGTGGTTTTTCACTGTTGTTCCTGACTACTTTTGATTTAAGAGTTTTGATCTCTAAATAGTGTTTCCACAAACAGCAGTAGGAATCTAAGGGAGATGGGCTGTTCTTGGTTTAAAATACTCGCGGGCTCTTCTGAGAATAACTCTTAAGAAGGCAGCTTCTTGCGGACAGAAAAGTCTGTCTGTCTGATTCAGCCCAAAAGAAGAGAAAATCCTGAATTTAGTAAGAGGGAGAAAAATAAAAGTCATGCTTACCAGCTGCTTTGAGTCCCAGTTGGCTTGCTGAAGTCTCCTTAGAAATGAAGTCCAGCTACCGCACCGCTGTCCCTAAGGGCATGGGCAGCTCTCAGCTCAGGCGCTGCCTTTTCCATCTGCTGCTGCGCGTGCTGACCTAAAACTTGGGTTCTCCCATTAATTTTTCCTGGCCATCGCTTAAGTTTCGGACCACTTATATAATCCGGTCACATTGGGATAGCTTGTGAAGATAGCCTTAACAGGAAGAAGATGGCTTTGGGAATTTGATGGGAACTGAAGGAGCAATGGTTTGCAGGACAAGCCCGTGTGAACGCCTGCTTATCCAGGGCTGAACTCGGACAGCCCAAGCTGCTGCACTGATAAATTGGGAAATGTTGTTAGCAGCTGATGGAGAAAGCGTGTCTACAGCCTGAATGCACTCAAATGGTGTTTATCCAATTCATTTTAGTAAATGAATTATGTGTCAGAAGTTTTGGCTTCTTTTAGCCGCAAGAGCCCATTCCTGTCTGGAGGCTGGTGCCGCACCAAAGAAGGGCAGAGCTGCCCGAGGGGAAGGGCAGCGCCAGGGGAAGAACTTTGTCTTAAACCAGCCAAGGATGTGCCAGCACCGCTGTAAATCATTGGGGTAATTTCAGCCTTGTGGATGGCTTTCAACCTAACACATGTTCTGGCTTTAGGTCAGAACAAACTCTTTTTTCCCCTACGTCTCCCTCCAAAATGGAGGTTGAACCTTGGAGAGCAGAAGCTTTCCTCTCCAGCAGCTCCGGGGCAGTTTAAGGTTAGCTAGGCAGGACCTTGGCAAACCTGAGCTCAGAAACCAGACCAGCAAAAAACCCTGCGTGATGCTTGTTGTTACAACAGGGTGTGAGGAACTGGTGTCCTTGGAAGAGGGGAAGGTTGTGCAACTGAGTGTCAGCAGGACAGTATCCCAAATTACTGAGTTGTTGTAGAGACTGGGCTCTCTGGCAGGGCTGAAAGGATACATAAAAGAACACATAAATATTTTCTTATATGTAGAGCTGGGAGTCAGCGAGGGTGAATACTGAAGTCCTGAGGAGAAGGGTGCAGAAGGAAGAAGCTGCACTCACTGCCTGCCTTAATTTGGTCAAGCCCTTAGTCCTGCATTTCCAGAATTCTTGATATTTTTTTTGGATGATGGTTTTTCCATGCAGTGCTGAGATTTAAAACAGTCCCTCATTCAACCCCAGCAAATTATGACAGAGGTCAAGCTGGATCTGTTGTTTCCTTCTAAATATGATTTTCTCGAGGCACGTGCGTGTTTGAGGGGCTGTGGTGTCAATGGTTCTGTGGAATTCTTGTCTCTTGAGCAATGGATGGAGGAGCACAATCTGGGAACTGCAGCAGGAACTATTTTTGCAGTGGAGATGAGACATTTTCTGCTGCCTTTGCCCAGGGTCTGAGTGAGACAAGGCTGGTTTCCCTGCCAGCTCTCAGCTAGAACCCAAACTCCCTGATTGTGGTATTTATCAGGCCACCAGGATTTAAAACTTGGATCTGATGTGTTTAAATGGTAGCGCCGCAATTGTGGCCTTTCAGTTCACTTGCTAGGAAAATACTATGGTGATAAATTTTTCCGTGGCCCATCAAGCAGCCTCCCAAATGTTACCCGTGCCTCCCAGAAGAGGGGTGCAACTTTATCTCTGGGAGCACGACCAGCTGGTATCACACCTTGCTTGCAGTTATGTTGTCTTACACGCTTGGTTTGCGGGGCGGTGCTGGCTCCTGTTCTTGCTGCAGAGGGAGATATTGTACAATCCAGTGAGCTGCTTCTGGCTGCAGGATAGGAGAACGGTTAAAATTCCCTTTGCTTTGCCTGGTGACAAGCAAAACTTGCATGGGGAGCAGACCAACAATGCCTATAGCCGTGGTGCCCAGGGACAGCAGCTCTGGTTGGGTCTGGGGGGTTCATTTTGGCACAGAAAAAGCTGCTGTTCACAAGTCCTGCAGTAACTTCTCTGCTTTGGACTGTGGTTACCAGAGCTCTGGTGTGGGACACGCTGCCTGTCCCTAACTCTGCTACAAACCTTGTGCTGAGCCTGACCTTGTTTTCTCTTTTTGGAACTGATGCAAGCCTGCAAATATGAAAAATGCAAAACTGACTTGATGGATTGTGGATTGCAGCTTTCATTAAGAATTAAAAATAAGCAGAAAGTTATATTTAGCCATCTGTAAATAAAAGAGAACAGGAGGCTCTTTATCAGCTGGGCTCCATCAGGGCAGTCACTGTCCCTGCTGGTGTGATTTAAGGGGTGAAAATCCAGTTTGACCATGGGGCTGACAAGATGGCGGCCTCAGGAGCAGGTTGGTGGCTGCCCAGGCCAGCCTGGCTCCTGGGGCAGGATCTGTGCCATGAGGGGGCTGGAGAAGGACCCCCCAAATTCTTAGCATTGTCCTCCCCCAGTGAGATCAGTGAGGAGCCCAGCCCACGGGAACCCTTGTCCCCCTGGTTGTCCCAAGGGTGCTACGCCCCTCCACCCCCTAACCCTGGGGTTGAGGTTTCTCTGCCAGGATCTGTCCCCTGCCCTGTCTCAGCTCCCGGTCTCTCTGGGACGCCTGGGCTGTCCCTCGTCTTTCTGCTGGCTGTGGATACTGCACGTCCCAGAAACAACACACATTCTCTGCTTTGCTAAAAAAGGCAAAAACCCCATTTATGCTGTATCTCATGCTGTCTGACAGGCTGGTCTGTGCTATTTTGGGGCTGCCTGAGGCTGCATGCAGCAGAGGTTCCACGGCCTCCATGCCAGGGGTGCTGCTGGCTCCTGTCCCGGGCACTGTGGCACGAAGGACCCAAGCCACAAACTGCGATTCTGCTTCATCCCGCGCATCGTCGTGTGCCCAAACCCTTCCCCATGCAGCATTATACATGTCTGTAGCAGCTCTTCATTAATGGGGAAGAGCAGCTCCCTCCCTGCAGGCAGGCTGGAGGGTGTCAGCCCGGTCCTCTGTGCCCTTGGGAGGCTGCTCAGACTCTTTTGGGGCATCAGGTCCCCCGTGCCGAGGGGTGCAGCATGGCATTGCCTTTGCTCGATGAATCCGGGCTGCTTCTCGGCAGCCAGGTTACCAATTTCTCGGCTCATTTCACATGGACAAACGGGCTCTTTTCTTCCCAACAACGGGCAGCTCGAGCAGAGCAGCTCCTTGCCAGGCTTTGAGCAACAGCGTGTTTCTCTCCTCCGTGATCGCAAATAAACCTCCCTGGCCTCAGGGGATCCCCGCTTGGCTCCCGGCGAGGGATCTTGGTGCAGCAGGGTTTCTCATGCCAAAAGGGACATTGAAACACATTTGTTCGGGAAACGGGGCCCTGTAAATACTGCTCAAATACTCCTCCTTTTATTAAAGTTATAGCGGTTCCCAGGGTGCTCGTTTCTACACTGCAAGTTCGGGGTGCTGCTTTGGCTTCTTTTAGCACAGGCTGGTCTTGTTTTGGGGCTCGTTCTGGGCAGGGGAACAGAATAACAACCTCAGTGATCTGGTATGTGAAGCTCTCCCCTGCCAAA